TGAGGCAGCCTCGCCGCCAATGAGCCACATGCTATACGCCCTACGTCCAGCCATACCAGCCAGCCTGCAAGACCCCAAGCACGGTCAGTATCACGGCTGCGACTAAGCGGCCTATTAGTGGGGTGTCAATCGAGGTCGAACCCGAGTTGATCGGTTTAAACGGGTCAACCGTAGATCCAACCATTTTTGTAAACGGGTCGCTATCTCATAGCCAAAACCCCGACCACCGACGGGTGCCGGGTTGACACTACCGACCGTTACTTAAAAAGAAGGGTAGACGGCAGTGGTGCAGGCGCGGCGGTGCGGCTGTAGCAGGCGCGTAGGCGGCAGAGGCACCTGCGGCCAGCGCTAGTCGAAACGAGTCGCGACTGAACCCGAACGGTCGAAACCCCACGCGAGCGGGCTTTTGCTGCGCTGGCACGCCAGTGCGGCAAAGCCGAAGCTGCAACGCGAGTGGCGAAGCCGAAGCGGCCACGCGAAGCTCGAAGAGGGCTCTTGCAGCGTCACGCGGGACCGGGCAGTTGAGCGTCGGCAGGGAGTCATTTCAAGGTCATTTTCCGGGTCCGGGTCAACACCGAACCGCCCGATATTTGAAACGGATGGTTTACCAACCTGACGTTTCATAACGGGTGACTCCGAACTGAATTTTTCTGGGTCGGATAAAAAAATTTGACTCCCCTACCTATATATCAGGGCTTCAGCGGGTCGAAACGCAGCCCTCCCGCTCCCAACCCAGCAAGAAGCCACCCAACCATCAAACACAAGGCCAACGGCTTACTTGGGGGTGGCTAACATTTTTTATTTAAATTATAACCTATAAATATTCAAAGTAAATATCAATGTAAAAGTAAAACTAATTTGATAAAAATAATTAGATTTATTAAATAATGAATTATTGAATTAGTTAATTTATTTTAAATATTTCATTAATTAATTTAAATTTTATGCAATAAATTATTTAAATATTTAACTTATTACTAAATAATAATTATAAAATTCATTTTTTATTTTTGAAATTTTTTAATTTCGTCGAAATCCATGGATTCTAGAATAATCCGTAAGAAGCAGTCAAAAAATTCTCCAGAAATCCGTCGGAATTTTGCCGGAAATATTTCACCGAAAATCGGTCAGAAAATTCGTTGGAATTTTTGGAGAATTTAATTTTGCTGAAAATTCCATTGGAAATAAGCTGTTTTCATGTAATGAAATACATTTATTAAAGCTTGTATGAGGTGGGATGACTAGTAAATTAGGTTTTATTTGGAACAGTTTATTAATTGTTTTATAAAGATATTTTTTAGTATAAAAATTTTTTTAACTTCAAAATTTTTAACTTGAATGTTACTTTATAAAACAATAAGAAAATTGTTACAAACGAAACCTTAATTTAAACATCAAAGTTGGGGGTGTAAATGCGTTGAATTTGAGTGAGTGACTTCAAGAATTATTTAGCTTGATTTTTTAAGCTATTCTTTTTTTTTTTTCCCGGTATTTGGCTTTTCTTAAGTGATTGAATTGACTATGAGATGTTCATAAAAGTAAAATCAAAACATATAAAAATGTATATAATTTATATATTCTCAAGGAAAAATTTATAGGGCTTATACCAATTGAAATAATTTACTATATATTTAAAGTTACATAAATCCACTTCCCTCCACAATTAGAGAAGTTGCAATTACAAAATTAGTAGCACTTGCTTTGTCTCCTATAATTGTGGCAAAGATTATGGGAGACACAATAGAGAGAGGATGATTGTCAAATAATGATAATTAGGCTATGCTGGTTGGATGATTATGCTCCATCAGATGACAATGGTCAGATGATCAATGATGTTGATTGAATGATGATGGTCATACAATAATAGTTGGATGATGATGGTCGGATGCTGACGATTAAATACTAACAGCCAAATGATAGAGAATGAACTATGATAATCTAGTGGTGGTCTAATGATGATAGTGATTCAATAACATGGCTAAGCGGTGATCAACAATGTCAAAAGCCGAGGAGAGATTTAGAGTTCCTCAGAACATTAAGCATTCTCCAATCTCAAATCTAGGTCCCTTTTATATGGAGAGTATGATTCTATTTAAATTACTTCCAGACTGTGCATTTTGATAAAGTAAACCAAAATTTCATAGCACTCTATTAGATTTCTCATATCGAATTATTTGATTATAAATCATTTACTTAGTATTAAGTGCCTTAATGAACTCAAAATGAATTGATCTTGGGCATTCTGGATTCATTTTGTCAAGGCACTCAATTTTATTATAAGCATGCAAAATTTAGATATTGTCTAATCCTTTAATTAATGATTCAAAGTTTCTCTTGCGCAGCCAGTAAGGCGGGCTGCTTATGGGAGAGCAGTTGGTGGCGCATTGTTGATGGGAGAAGGTGGTGGGGGAGGATGCATGAGGGTAGTTGGCGACAGTGCATGCTATTGTCAGAGAGAAGTCGACATGGTGGTGAACGACGAAGTTTTTGTTTGTAAAAGTTGGAAGGAGATATGAGACTTAGGCTTCCTTTGTGATGGCTTTCTTATTGCTCCTTAAAATAATTTTTTTGGTAAAAAAATTTAAACTAAAAAGCTTTGTTTTAGAAAACAATAAGAAAGTAGCCCCAAACGAACCTAAGACAAACGAAGCCTTAGGTTCGTTTGGGACAATTTTCTTACGGTTTTCTAAAGTAAATTTTTATTATAAAAAGTACTTAAATTAATTTTTTCTTAAACTAAAAAGCTATTTTATAAAATAGTGAGCAAGAGTTTAATGCTTTGGTTTTAAGACTGCAACCATAATTTGTGTTTAGCACTATTTTTATTTCATAAAAAAAAAAATCAAAAAATTTGTTTTCTATTGTTCTTTATTTATTATCGCTTTACAAAACATTAAGAAAACTGTCTTAAATTAAAACCTCAAATAAATAACCAAGTGCAAAAGATAAATATAAGCTGAATGTAGAAGCTACTATTCATAAATAATAAATTAAAAAAGTTTTTTAGTTTAAAGATAATTATGGAACTGTTTGGAATGGCTATAACATTTTATAAAGTTGATTATGAAGTTATTTTGGAAAAAAAAAATTCTTAAAACTATTGCATAATCAGCTTCCTAGTACAATTTTTTTTTTTCAAAAGTAACAAAAAAAATAATAGTTAAACATGTTAGTTTATGAAAAGCAAAGCAAAAAAAAAAAAAAAAAAGGGGTCGAATGAGATGAATCTGTTACTAATAAGAAGAATATATTAGGAGAGAGAAAAGAAAAAATATACCCTATTTCAAAATGATTATTCTTTCCACTCAAACATAAATATATAGTCATATTGCAGCATGAATATAGATGCTGATGACCTAGGATGAATTTTTCTTTTTTTTAGGTTACACTACACTACGCCATCAAACTCTAGATATATTTCGAA